AATTTGACATTTTCTGTTTTTTCTAAGTGACGCAGTTAACACATGGTCCACAGTATCTTTTGTTAACTTATATTTAATAAAAAAATGTAAAATGTAATGTAAATAATGTACAAGTAATTTGTTTGTTAATTGTTAAATTAATGTATTATTTATACACACAACCCATACGAAGGACGGGTACACAGCTAGTGTAAAATATATGAATAATAAGTCTCATATCAGAAAATTCAGACCAATCTTTAAAATGTTATAAAGTCTATAAAATCCTATTCATTTTTAAGGTTTGGATACACTATTTACTTATTTATAATTTTAACCCATACACTCTAATAACATACATCTCAGTGTGGAGTTGGGCTAATCTGCTAATCAATTAATTGACAGGCCCATTAATTGATCACATTCAACAACTGATTTTTTTCACATGGGATGTGGATAGTTGGAATAATTGGAAATGCTTATCAATTAACCCTATTGCCACGGGTCAGAGGCCATGTCATTACGTTTGTTGACTTGCTTTCAAAATCTTATTCAACTACTGTTTTATGAATTTATGTCAAGAAGTTTGGTATCCAGTTGTAGATTATAATTCAAATTTTAGTATTACATATTAGTTAATTTCTTAATTTAAAAGTAAATATTAAAAGAACACATCTAAATGTGTCAAGCGGTATGTTGAATGCTGCATTGGTTCAAATTATAGTTTGTGATGTCCAAATACATACAACTTCGTACAAATTACTAACTCAGATGACCAATATTGACAAGCTAGAATATAAAATAAGAACCTCCTATATTTTCTGTTTGCTGAGATATTGCTTTATATACTGAATCAAAGACAGCGGTCCTGCCCACCTCTTTCCATTTTTTGAGACAGTTACATAAACCTACTTCTGTCTATTAAATGTGAATAACCAATCAAAAACTCAAAATATTCCCCATGTGGTTCTCTGAGCCTTTGCAAATTATTTGTGTGGGAAATCCTTTCTTTTTACTCTGGATTTGAAGAGGGTAAGTTGACACTTTAGTGAGCTCGAAATTTAATATTTTTTTAGACCCAAATAAGCTTAATTACTAAGTTTGATGAATTATAGTGGAATTCTATGGTATTGACATGGTAATTTATGATTTTTTGGTTATTTAAAATGTAAATATAAAACCTAGAAAAATATTTCATTTCACATCCTCATTGTGCAAAATTTGATGAGGCTTAGCAACCTAAGGCAAGTAGCAAACGAGTACAAAGTTTGTAACTAGAAAAGATAACTGTTTGCTATACTTTATTTACTGTTCTATGTTTTAAGAAAAATAATTTTAAGACCTATTTGTAAATAGTAATAATGTATATACATATATAATGTATTATAAGTGAAATGTGACTATTTTACAAAACACTAGTCCACTAAAACACAACCAAGACAGGTAACTTTGTAAAGGCCAGTTTTATATTCTTGGATACAGTAACATGAGTGCGCACACACAATGTCATTACAACTTCTGTAATGTTTGCAAGGCATGACTGGAAGATCAATATTATAAAAATATATAAATGTATAATGTTATGAGATTTAAGATACTTAGACTAAACATTTTTGTTTTCATGTTATAATTTGTAGTCATTCTAGAATGGAAAAAGCATAATTCATATTTATTCCTAATTTTTCATGATGGTTACAAGGTCAATCAAAATGACCCCCCCCCCCACTCCCGTATAGTTAGGGTAGAGAAAATATAAAGTTTTACTGAAAACAAATGTTTGAAATGTACTTAGGAGGTTTTAGAGATTACATAAAAAATATTTGAGATTTTTGGGATGAAGAATAGTTTTTCAATCATAACATGAGAATCACTTTGTACTCGGAATAGTAACAAAACAGACTCAATATTTTCACAAATAAATCTTTAGTAAAAGTACTTCATTAAAAAATCTGATTTTTTTGTGTACAAAAGACTTTTAATCCTTACTAAAAGTTTACCAAATTTTGTGAAGATACAGATACTGCATTAAAAGTTATAGTATAAATACTTAACATGTGCAAATGTGTATACAAACTCATGTATGTTATAAGAGCCTGTTGCAAAAGGGTTAAGCTGAACAATTTTCAGTTAATTGAAAACAGAAACACTAATATCTACTAACAAATTACTTTACAACACACTATTCGATGTAGGTGATATTCATAGGTAACCAATTATATTGATTGATTGAGTTAATCATAGAGCTCTACTGTTGAGTAATTAAGTAACTGCATATATATATAGTAACATTTTCTGTAAGTAACACAGGCTTTACTAAATTAAAAAAACTGAGGCATAATCTGTAGATTCTCCCAATTCTCTAAATAAAACTTAAAAATTTAAGACAAACCTGACTTTGCCCAGAACAACAAGCTTATAAAAACTGAACTTACCTAGCCACCCTAACACTGAATAATAAAGAATACATATTTTTCATAAAGTATGAAGGGAAGTATGCAACTAATGCTTCACTTAATATGATTGTATATGATAAACATGAATTTTTTGGCAAAAACAAAAGTAATAGTTATGTTGAATTTACACTGCTTGTGTGCGTGTGGATCAATTGAGTGTACTTAGTCATTATTAAAAAAATCAAAGTACATGAAAATGCCATAATATCAACCCAATGCCAACAGGTCAGTCAATCTGAGAGACCTTGAAAAAAGCATTAAACTATACATACTAGAAAGCTTGTATCTTCATGAAATTTGGAAAGGTTTTATTAAAAATTACAAAAAAAAATCAGAATTTTCATAAAGTAGTTCTATTAAAGATTTGTCTGAGAATTTACAAAGCCTTTACTGAATCAATCTGAGTGCAAGGTGATTTTCATGCTAAGAATAAAAATACTTCTTTTGATTTTACATTTTATTTACAGTAAAATGAAATTCTGAAATAACATAAATATTAGCTTTTCTTCATTGTATACATTTTAGCCACATCTTAAATTAATTATATTCAATATTTCAAATGTTCTATTTTAATTTTATAATTTTATTGCCTAGTTTTTAACATGTAAGCAATTTTATCAACTGTGAAAAGCAACACATCACAGTGGGAAACAGCAGATTCTTGTACAATGACATACTGAGCAGTGTGAAATTGTGCACTCATACATGTAGTTAATCTATAAAGCATTCAAGGGCTTTGAATTTTAGCCAATGAGGTAAAAGATGACTTGTCCTAATAACAGGATGAAATAATAGGTTTTAGTTACACACTAGATTTTAGTTCTGACCACAACATAGCATTTAGAAGAGAGTTGCAAAGCTTTATTACTTGTTATCAAACAAAGAGATAAAAAGTTGAAAGTATACTTAAAGGACTGTAAATAACAAATAATTAATTAGCGCTTTGTTCAGAAGTGTGGTAATTTAGAATTTATTTTAATGGCTTGTTTCGTACTTATATAAAAAAAAACAATAACAATAACCCATCAGCATAATATGCACAAAAATTAAAGATTTAACAAAACATAAACTGACCATTTTTAACAAACCAAGTTTGCTATTCTGATTAAACTTTGGAATTACAACCATAATGTCATTTTATTTGATTACTAGTGACTTGTCTAAACAAATTATTGTTATTGGTCTAGACTACTTTGAATTTGAGTCCTTAAACTGCATTAATTGTTGATTATATTGAAAAAAGTTCAATAAATGTAGACCTTACATAACCAGAAAACGGCTTCTATTATGGTTAAAAATAAAATTACTCTTCAATGGATACTAGAGGACACAAACCTATGATTTTAAAACAAGAAGCGAAGAACCCTAAACTCAAAGTCCCCACACTACCTGTAATACTAATATCTCAATTTACAGTATGGATAATCTCAAATACCTTTATTTTAAATTGTATTTAAAGAAAAGTATTTAAAAACATGTAAAACTAGTTTCGTTACCCAAGTTATTAAATTAAATTAATATAATACTAGGTAAGTAACAGTAATCTTAACTTTAAGCCTAAGGGCATTTTACAAATTTTAGTTAACTATTTTAGTACTTAGGTTGGTATTGTGAACTACAGTGCCTACACACGATAGTGAAATTATCAGAATTTCATTATTTCAACCATCTTCGCTAAATATACGAATCACTGAAAAACAAAACTGACCCTAGAGTATGGTAAGGGCTTTGACCTTCCTCTTGTTTGACGATTACGAATGGGACCTCCACGTCCAGTACTCCAACGTCCTACACCGCCACTACTAGGCCTAGTTCCACGGCCTCTACTTCCTCTTCCTCCACCTCTTCCAGCCCCACGAACACGAAACTTACTTCTATCTTGTTTGATAATGTCATCTAACGACATGTCAATTTTGTCTGCCATTTTATCAGTTTTATAACTTTGTTTTTAAAATACAAAATCACACAATCTAAGTTGTTTTAAAATATACGTTACGTTTGGAATACACTTATGTATTCCAGTTTATTCTAAAGAAAGAAAGGCAACTGACGCAAAGCAATATGGGATAGTACGACGTTAGTGACATCTACAGCAGGAACATAAGTATAGTCTAATAATGGCTGGAGACGGCTTATATGGGTAATGAAGAAACACTTTAATATAAGTTTAACATGACAGCAAATGCACAACGTTTCG